CTGCTTAATGTTTCGAAGTTAAGATTTGAATTTCCATGAACTCCCCGTTAAAAATGTTGTGCTTGGTCTTTGTGCTCTGCACGAATATTTGCACTGTTGGAAGGCGCTGATGGAGGCAGCAGGAACTAGGACAGCTGCGTTGTTATGAGCTCTTGTTCATAATGTTGCGCTTGTTCCTTGTTCTACGCGGATGTTTAAACAGCCGGAAGACGGTGCTTGAGGGTACGCCAGCGTTCTGAGCGTTTCCAGATGTAGCTTTGAATTTTCGTGGAGCAGTACGCCAAAAACACTGACGCTCGCCCATAACGGTGCCGTACGCTAGTTCGATAGCTGTACTTTCGCTCACTCGAATTGGTGACGTACGCTCGAAACGCTGAACGCAAGCAGAAGTATGAACGCAGCCTCGCGGATAGCGCATTTCCCGGAAGGCGTGAAGTGTGGGTTCAAGTTCCACCTCGAGTCAAGAGCTCGCCGAAGAAGTGCTTAAAGGCAGTTGGCACGACAAATCCGCAAGGTGAGTAGGATTAATACGCCTGGCAAGACGGAATTCCGCGACCTCTGAGCAGGCGCTGCATAGTGCCTTTCCAAGGAAGGTACCATTATAAAGTCTCATGCATGCCGACCCAAATGCCCACCGCGCCCGCTCGCGCACAATGGACTACAATACCTGATGCTCGTATTGCATCGTTTGCGAAGTAAAATACGGAGGATCGACATGAAGCGGCCGCGGTGCTGGATGGATATATGAGTGCATACGTGCAGCCGTATCTACCACTATTGGCACTAGAAATTATGGGAAACTCGTCCGAAATTGCTTTTCAGTCGCGAAGAACGAAAGCTTTTCTTCGCAGGTCTTTGACCGTTTCACTTCGTTTTCGCCATTTTCCACACTATATAGCGCCCTACTAGCGTTTGAGACGTACTAAAGTATTGTGCCATATGCCTTTAAATGCGCACGATGTCGCTCTCCTGAACTCATCTCTGAACTTTGCCTTCTCCCAGCAAGCGCCGTTAATGGTTTGGGAACAGCACTGGCAAGCTTTGTGAAGACAACTTGACTGAGGAACTGTCGAAGAGCATGAAAAATGGAAATTGATTAAAAAGCACGTACCTGATGCTGTATGTACAGCATTATCCATATTTTTGAGCACCCGCACATCAATGGAAGTATCTTGTGAGGCTCTTAACATCTTTTCCTCATATTTCTTATTGAGTATAGTTTTCAAGTTATCTGCCTCATCGAGTGCCTCTTTGAATCGCAGTCCAAAAATCGCACCGTGCTGAACGATTCACGTTCAGTCTGCGTTACTGCAGTAGTCAAAGAAATGAAGCAGCCATAAGAGATTGATGGAAATCTTATTCAACTAACAGGAAAAAGTTTAAAAAAACCAAGCGACAAATAAATCCCACTTCGGCCTTGAATTTTGCAAAGTCGTTTTGTTGATAGATCTGTTTTGATAATTGTGCACACCGATAGTAGAGCGTATACTGCTTCTCAATATCGCCTCTTGCTACGCGCGCCTCCTGTATCATCTTCTCAATCGACGAAAACATCCTGTAAAAAGGATCAGATTATATGGGATTCTCGTTCGTTGTTTCATTGAAGGTGCATAGGTATGAGTTCTCTAGCTCTGAATACTTTTCAGGACAGTTCTGCGACGGGAGAGGGGGAGGGGGTATTTTGCACTTCCTCTACTTCCAACGTATTGACTCACCTAGAGAGTCATCCCGTGGACTCACAAGAGCTGACAGGTTCATGGTAACTAGAGCTTGCTCCAGCTCCACAAAATTCACATATTTCATCGGAGTGAAACTAGTGAACCGGAACTAGTGAAGCAGCGGAAGTGCAAAATTCTCCTCCCCCTCGTCGTCGAGCGGCTCCTTTTCCCCTATCCGTTTTACTGATATATGTACCTGATTGTAGGGTTTTTGGCACTAGTAGTCGGCCACCATGACAACCCGGGTTTTTCTTTTCAAAAAACGCGCACCATCCACAAGTGTTTTTTTTTGAAAATTCCACAAGCTAAGTTAAAGAGTCCGAAGCTTAACTGCTGAAGCGTTGAGAAGGAATTGGTGAATACGTTGTTTGAAGCAACATGGAAGAAACGCTGGTACCAGAAAACCTTGTATTCACACCAAGGATTTTTAAATAAGGGCACATTAATAGAAGAGAACTAACTTCTCGGATGAATACGTCCTCAGTCTTGCAATCATCTCTTTTGATAGCTCACTAGCCTCGTTCAAGCTCTCAATTGAGCTATGTTTCAAGACACATGAGCCATGGTTTGCCATTGCGAAGTACAAAAGCGGAAAGTAATTTATCTACCAGCACTTTTCTACCATAGCCTTGGTCACCTGAATTGCGAAACGTAAACAAACGGACGTTCTGCGAGCGGCTGTACACAAACAGAGAAGAACACAGTTGCGAATGTAACAGGAAAGCCAGGTGAGAGTGCGGTGCGAATCAGGGCTGATGAAACGTCTAATAAAGCGTGTTCAGTGCAGTCACGGCCAAGACGATGGTGTACTCGCGCTGAAATCCGTTGCGAGGCGACAAAGTCGTGGACAAGAAGGGATTATCGTAAGTAGTCTTTTAGAAGGGGAATTACAATGTTATCAGCTCGGAATGTATTAGTTCGGAGGAGAAGTCTTGGGACACTCCGAACAAAATGTTCCAGAAGAAAAAGAAATCGAGGCACATTCAGAACTATTCTCTCCAGAGCGCCAAGTTTTCAGTGGGTTTGGTGGCTTAGGCAATTTGAAAATGAGCTCGGAGCCGAAATTTCCGGAATCCAAACGGCATTAGCCCCAGTGGGGGGGAGGGTGGTCTGTATGACCGTCGCAGTGGTGGGAGAGGAGTAATGAGGATAAAAGGATAAAGGATAAAGTCTTCGCCGTTAATCAATCCCTTTGTGGGATGCGGCACGGATTCTGTTAGGTTGTTCCATAAGTCTTTTCCTTCCTGTTTTGATCCCTCCGTATTTATGGAAGTTGGTATTCCGTCATCACGTGTGCATGACGTGTACTTGATACTCTTTCATCATACTGGCTATCACTCACCCACCCTGCATTTGCAGGCCACAATGCCGCACAATTACCACTGAAAAATCACGTCACAGTGGCGATTGTGCGGCATTGTGGCCTTCTTCAGGTCCCAGCCCCCGCACTTCTGGGAGGAAGGAATCGACAGCTCGTTGCGTCGAGTAGTGGATGGTGATGGTGCATACCTCTAATCTTCAGGTTGGTTCGCTATTGAGATATTTACGAAAAAGTCGGGGGAAAGAACTCATGCAACGACCTAATACCTCCATTCAGAATCGCAGTGGCTTACTGAATGCGATGTGGCCTATACAATGACTTGCGGTGGCCAGCCGATGTACAAGTCAGTGTTTTATCCTCCCAGACGAATCTGGTACCAATTTACCGTCCCGGAGGGTAGAAGGCTTGGTTGGCCTGGGCGGGAGTCGACCCGGGATTTGAACCCGGCGCCGCGCGAGTGGTAAGCGCGCCACTTGTCACTACACCACCTCCGCCAACGTCTGGACCAACAAGGCAGTCCGTACGGTTTAACGATGAACACCTCAAAAACGAGAGTCATGCGAAATCAATTCGCTGGAGGTGCAACCGTTATGTTGAAAGGGAACCCAATCGAAGACGTAGAAGAATACGTGTACCTCGGCAGCCAGCTAAACATGAGGAATGATTTGACTGGAGAACTAGGAAGGCGCTGCGAAGCTGGATGGTCAGCATCAACTCTATAAAGAGTATAAGATACCAAGAGTCACAAAGTCCGTGCGGACCTTTTCAATGCAACAGTGCTGCCTGCCCTCAACTACGCGGGAGAAACTTGGGCCCTGACGAAAGCGCACGAAAGACGGTTAAAAGCTATCCAGGCATCAATTGAGGCCGCCTAGTAGGTCTGACGCTGAGCCGTCAGAGAATTAAAGGCATAGTTCGCGATCGCAAATTGCGGGAAACGGAACTCAAATAGGCACAAAAAAGTGCTAAGTATCTGATTAGCGGAGAAAAGCAGCAGAAAAAGCAGTCCGAAATGTTATAGAGAAAGATAACATAGTGGCTACTAGCTAGTAGCTAGCAGCCGGTGAGGGTCGGCATGGGCCTAAGGGGTGTCCATGGGCCTAATTAGTCAGCTTCTAGCGGAGTTCTTGCCGTTTTTCACATTTTGAAAGTAGCGCAGCCTCAAAAAATCGCCTTCCAGATGCAACATTTGAGATGTCATAGCCTTATTTTATTTCGCGCGAAATGTTGCCTTTAAAAGCTTACAACTCAGAGTCAAGCATGTAGAAGATCATAAGGATCATTGTATTCCACGTGTACGAAGCAAAAACCATAGATTTGCTGGTTATGTGTTGAGGAGATACGACGGAAGATGGAGTTCTGCGACCATATGATGGTACCCGCATGACAAGAAGCGACCACCTGTCCGCCCTCCAGTGCGCTGGGCCGACTCTCTAGCCTATCGCAACTATGGTTATGATCATACTTTTCTTAAGGTCTCTAAATGCCAGCTGAGAGCTTAGCAAGGCTCAAAACAGAGATCAATGGAAAAGAAGTTGGGACCCGCGCAAGGTCAACCGCCCTGCTGAAGAACGGGTCGCCTAAGTAACCTAAGTAAGTAACCTCGAGACGCACACGTCTGAATTGTCAATTCAGGTTACGATCATGTACCCTCGTCATCCGGGCAGTTGACGTCAACGGGCCGCAGCGCGTGCCAGGAACTATTTGCTTTTTCCAGACTAATTTAGTCATTTTTTCCAACTTTTCACTGTTTTGGCTACTTTTTCCCAGATTAGCAGCTCCTTATCTTCACAAGGTGGAAAAAATGAATTAGCCTGGAAAAGCAAATAGTTCCTGGCACACGCTGCGGCCCGTTGACGACCGCCCTAATCAAGCTTGCCGGATGGACTGAGTGTAAAAACAGTCGTGCTTTATCACATTGTCAACCCTCCGTTAAATGCTAAGAGAGGGAATTCGAGAAAAATAGATAGGGAGTCGAATCGACTGAGGTTTCTTTCTAGTTTATTTTATTTTTTCTACGCTAGCAACACTACAGACCCAAGATGAATTGGGAATTGAACGTTTATACAACTAACGAACTAAAGTGCGAGCTATCTTAGATACTTAACTTGGAGGAACTTAGTGGAACAGAGGACGGACCTCTGTTCCACTAAGGAGCATGGTCTCACGACAGTCCTGTGTTCGTGCTTTCTGCGCGGACAGCCTTTGCCACGGCGGGACGTCCTGGGCTACGGTACCTGCGGTTGTGCGATCATGCTCCTCACCATAGTGAGGTTACCTGCGTCAACTGCACCTTCGTGATGGGATAGCCCTTCGATTCTCGCCGTGGTATCTGCGGTGAAGAATACAGAAGATGATGTACAATAGACGAAGGAAACGGAGAGCAGAAAAAGGCCGCGACCACGACAGGAGCAGCGAAGGCTCTGCGAGAGGAAAACGGCCACGAACGGCAAGTCGGCTGGAGGTAGAACGCGAGGCTGACGACCAGTTTAGGCACATCCTAAAATCCATTCATGATCCATTTTATGATTGATCCTCTGCATATGCGGTAGCGCTGCGCGATCGGGTGCGGAGGACCTGACGACTTCCTTCAAGGAAGGCAAACTTGACGAAACGGTCTGTGCGTTGCCATGGTACTCATAATCTCGCCATGGTACTCATAATCAATTTCGATGGTAACAATTTCAAGATGGTATTGTAATGGTAAAGCAGTTTCCACGTATTGGCTCTTATCACCCCTCATTGGCAAACATCTTTACGCTCTTACTTTTTGTCGAAACTCGAGTGTTCGAAACCTTTCAGCTGTATCACTAGGGCATAAAATCTCGGCCCATGCTTATAAGCACTCATCGGGCACTATATCACAACCTATTTCCCACCACCAATGTTCTCTAACCACCCCTGAACACTGTTGGAAGCAGTCTACCACTGTTGCTACAACTTAAGCTGAACGTTTCAGGAGCTTCCTTTCTTAAGTGGTCTTCTGTGGTATCTTATCAGCTGCCACCCACCAATATTGTTCCCAACCTGCCCCTCACATCATTTCTCGGAACCGGCGTTCCACCCTGCAGTGACATGAGTTATGAATGCAGTGACCATTCTCTTTTGAGGCTCCTTCGTCAGCCCTTGTCAGCTGCTATCACTTCCTGGCACCCACCAATACTGTTCCCAACCTGCCTCTCACATCATTTCTTGGAACCACCGTCCCACCGTTGCAGTGACGCGAGTTATGAATTTGGTGATCCGCCCCTTTTGAGGCTCCTTGTCAGCCCTTGTCAGCTGTTATCACCTCCTGCTACCCACCAATGATGTTCACGTCCAACCCCTATATCACTTACCAATGTGAACTCTTTTTGGCCAATTTGAAGGAAGTTATGAATTTCCGTTCAAACACACACACATACAGACACACACACAAACATACAAACTTAGCAGATTATACATAGTAGAACGGTTGAGAAGTTCATAGCAAGCATGCAAACTGATTGCTCCGTTGACTAAGAATGTGTATCATGGGCTGATACGTCACTATAGAATGTTGTTCTCGAGTTTTCCGCTCTGCTTCCTGATGTCGCACTGCTCGATGTTTGATGTGTTTTGCTCGGTTTCGTTGGGGAAGCAGGAGGTATAGGTGTCAGCGCAGTTAACCAAACAGGGTTGGAAATGGCGGTACCCTGTGTTAGTGATAGAAAATCTTGTCACTTCGAGATGAAATACCAGCCCTTCACTTTTAACGGTAAATACAACCAGTCGAATCGCCCAACTGACGTCGGGCGCTCCTCCTTCTGTGTCACGCCCAGGCTTCGCCGGGCTACCTGGCTTCGCCAGGCACTCTTCCCTTAAGCGAGATAGAATGCGCAAATGTGCCAAATGGGGACAGCTATTTCGAAGATGAATTAGGCTGGATGAGGGATGTAACATACACGACCTTCACCCTGGAAAGGCACAACTGCAGAGTCATGTGTTACACTGGAAAGGAGAACTTCACACTGTTTTGTACATGTCGTAGTATGCGTGCACGGGGAGCCTTGAATGTTACCCCGACGGGACACCCTCAATCCAGTTTGTGGGTGCCTCCTTGATTTGCTGCTTCAGTTGCTACCTCTACCACCTCACACAACGTATAACGGGTAAATTTTCGAAATCTTTCATCGATGAGTTTCTTGATTTTCCGTTTCAGGCGCACAATGTACGTTACCGCTCAACGTTA